AGCGCTCCGGGCGAGGAAGGCAGGACGGGGACGCCAGACCATCCCAAGGCTGAGCGAAGACGTTGCAGGACCACACTGTTTCCCAAATGTAAACTTGAAAACGAAAGGAACGAAACTTTTCGTAGATTTTGTTCCTCAGAGAAGGGTGTGCTGAGGAACCCCCTCACCCAAGGACAGCGCGGGGGCAGCCCTCACCCCGCCCCGCAGAGCCAGCCTGGGCTCGGTTAGTTTTTTGTCTCCTTCAAGGGAGGGATTGCAGTGTCGCCGTCTCGGCTCGCGTCGCGGTTATTACCGAGGGGTTCCGGGGAACCCGAGGCTTCCAGATGAAGTGTAACCGAAGCTGAGGGGTGGCTAACATTGAAACCCAGAGGTTCAACCTCCAGAACATCCCTGGCCCCAGCAGACGCTTCTTGATATGCTTTTGCACCACCTGTTCCTCAGTGGGAGAAACGGAAAAGGAAACTTTTCCCAAATTGCACGTGAAGTTTGCAGAGCCTCCCCCCATCCCTTATTTCCTGATCAATAATTTGCGTGGTGAGTGCCATTCTCTCTTGGGTCACACCCACCTTACACCTACCCCACTGGCCTAGGATCCTTTATTCGGACACGAGAAACAGTGCCAGCAACAAGTATAAATACTGTGCTTTAATGAGCCCCTTAAATAGAAATTCACTACAAAAATAGACAATTGGGAGAGACAGGGTGTCTCCCAAATCCACTCCATATCCATAGGAAGCTCTAAGGGGAGAAGTAGGAATTGGAATTAAAGAAGCAGCAAAAGGAGGTGAAAATGAGGCCTGAACTCAAAATTAACAGTTGGATATCCAAAAGGGATGAAATTTCCCTGGAAAAAAAAACCAAAAACAAAAAACAGGTGATCATATTTTGGACTGTTTTTGTTTCTTAATTGTTCAAATCACAAGACACTATATACAATCTTGAGGAACTAAACTGGACAGAGCAAGAGTTGTAGGTAGCACCACCCATCTGCAATGGAAAATCAAGTCAGGGGTCTTGTTTGAGGGCTGGAATGAGAAAGCTGAGGCGGCAAGTCCCGATGAGAAAAACCGGAAGGGTTAGAACCCTCTCTCATCCCAGACCCCCTTTGCCCTGCCCGCGAGAAAGCCAGCCATGTCAACAGGACTGGGAGAGAATGGGATTTGGATCTCTTTTCTGGGAGCGGTCCTCGGGAGATGTTCTTGGAGTCCATTTCTCTATTAGCTCCTGAAGACGGGATAGCTCATCCTGGAGGCCCGTGATGGTGGGAGCTGAGAGGCCCCTCTGGGAAGGGAGTGGGGAGAAGTAGAGGAACAGTATCAGTGCAGCTCTAGCTCTCTGCTTCTGAAATCTGTCCACTACTGGCATCTTTAATTCTCTTCCCCCTCCAACTGTGCCCTAGGTTCCACTTGGTCTGAGCCACAAGCAGTTTTCCCCACCCACCCATACTCCCACACCACTCCACTTTGATACCAACATGAATCGTTCTTCACTTCCCAGTTTCCCCAGCCCCTTGCTGTTCCAGATCCCGGAACATCTGGTTCCTCCTGAAACATCTTATTTCTCCTAGGACACCTGACTCAGCGGTCAAACCCTTCTCCCACTCCCCATCCCTGTCTTTTCTCACCTGGACCTCAGGCCTTCCCCTTAGGTAGCAGCGTTTCCAGAGCCTGATCTGGGGTCCCAAATACCCAGGCAGCAGCAGCCCTGCGGGTAAAGGGCAAGCTCCCCAATGTGAGGGGAGCCCCCACTCTTGATCAGCTAGACTTTCCGAAGAGATAGCAGGTCGAGGGAGCCAGCGTGAAGAGACTGTCAGCAGGCAAGGGCTGTCCCGCCAAGGACAGAGCTGATTCAGGGCAGTCAGAGCCCCTCTAGAGAAGAGCCACACAGAACTGGGAGGTCCACGAACCATGAAGCTTGGCTAAAGGGGAAAGGAAAATCAACTGGTGACCTAGAAACCAGATGAACCCAGTTTTCCCAAATTGGGTCAGGAAGGAATGTCCAGCTACTACTCACTGCAATACAAGCCTCCCACTGAGAACTCTATTTTTTCTCTTCATTAGGTTTCAAAATAGGCCCCAGGACTGATTAAAGTTGATTTTAGGGAAACTTGTAAAATGTATGTGTGAGGATCAAAAGGATGCCCACTGCTATTCTGGGATTTCTGTCTTCCTGGGGACAGTCAGAAACAATAAGTGACAGTTGTTGTAGTGGAGGAGTAAAGTAGTTTTCCCTGGGGAACTTGGACACTGTATCTTTCCACTTCTCCCCCCATCTAGTAGGATGAGCCTGTGAGAAAGTCAAGGAAATTCAGGGAGTTCAGACACCTACCTGCTGTCTAGGGAGCCAGGAGTCTTGGCAGCGTTCCGGGTCATAGCCAGGATTATGGAATTGTAGGATCTGTTCATTGCTGTAGCGTAAATCCCAGTCCCAGACAGATAGCTGTGCGTTAACAGAGTTACCAGCGGGGGGGTGGGAGTACCCTGGGGTATAGACTTGTGTATAGGAGTTGAACTGTACAGAGGAAAACGAAAAAAAGATGGTTAAACAAAGGGAAAAAAATCTATAGATATAAAAGCCTAAGTGATTGTTTGACCATTCAGTCAGTAGCTATGATGCACACTGACCACCAAGGGGAAGATGCTCAACACACAGGCATGGAAACCTGGAACAGACTGCTGAATCTCAGAGGGAAGGGGAAATGGGGGAGCGCGGGAAGAGATTAACCAAAGATCTTATATGCAAACTAGAGGCCTGGTGTCTGGATTCATACACCAGTGGGGTCCCTCAGCCTGGCCTATGCCCTCTTGCAATCCAGGACCCCTTGGGGGATGTCGGACTGCCGGTTTTGGCCTGATCCCCACAGGCCAGGCCGAGAGACCCCACTGGTGCATGAATCTGTGCACCGGGATAGATAGACAGATAGATAGAGAGATAGATAGATATTCCTACTCACAGGTCTAGAGAGAAATTGTGAAAAGCTGCTCATCTCTTACTCCAGGAATCATATGTAGGGTGAAAATCCAGTCCTGAGAGAGAGCACCAACCTCCCCATTTCTCACCCATAAACCTCACTTTCCATAAACAAGACTAAACTTCAGAAAGTACTTCTCAATGGGGGTGGGGGAATGTGGAAGACAAGTGAAAAATGAAAGTCACTGACCTGTCCACTCTGCTTTCCACGCTCCCAGGGATTGTCTCTCAAGAATGTAAGTGTGTCAGGAACCCTGACACTGTCATGAAGAGCAAGAAGGAAAAACTCAGAGAATTCAAACTCAGCTGGAAACTGCTGGAGGAGCTGCCAGACGCAATCAAGGAAGAGGAGAAACACTGGGGCCTGAAAAAAGGTAAATTAAGAGGATGGAATGGACTATAGGAATCTAAAAGGGGAGGATGACAAATGAGAGGGACACAGGGAACAGGGGCCACTATGGAGATCAGAAAATGGAGATCTGAATTGAGCATGATAGGGAGTGTGGTCCCTCACTCATCTGGGTTCTCCCTTCAAACTCAGCCTAACCTCAGTACCCTTCAGACCTTATTCACCTCCCGTGGATTACACTATATAATTTTCTGATCCTCTTTTTAAGTAATACTGGCCCCCATCCCAATACCCTCCCAAAATGTTCTCACCTTTTCACTGACCCCAGTTACCCCAAGTCGGGTCAGGAAGGGATGTCCAGCTACCACCCACTCTCGCTGCACTAGTGATTGGAAGCCAAGCAGCGTTCGGGCTTCAGGGGCTGAAAGCAGCTGGACGAGTGAAGAGAGGAGGCCATTGAAATCACGATCACCTCGCTCTGGTGATAAAGAGGGAGGAGGGACAAAGAAGAAGGGGCCAAGAAACTAGGGCAGAAGAGAATGAGAAAAGAAAACATGGCAAGAAGTGTGGTGAAGCACAGAGGGGGAAAGTTTTGGGTAGGTAGAATTGAGAGGGCACATAGAAGTAAAGAAAAAACAAAGACCTTGAATGATTCACTTCATAGACTCCATCTGGATAGAAATACCCAGCCTCACATGTAGGGGGCAGCATTATAAATCTCAAATCAGCTTCCACATTGTCCTTCCCATCCCAACCCCAGTCCCCATACATATTGGAAGAATAGGAACTGAGGGGAGAGAATCCTCCTGTTAGGACCACAAGCTGTGGTGGGGAGGCGGAGGTAGCACTAAAGGATGAGTTAGAGCTCACAGGTAGTTCCTAGTAAAGGGAGAAGAGGATGCTAGCACTAGAAGGGGACAAGCTTTATAACAGGTGGGGAATGTCTGGCCTGTGGGCCATATACTAGTAAGGTCCATGAAATCATTTGGTATGGCCCTGCCAAGGCATTAGGGGTGGGTTAATTAAATGTTTGACCAAATATAGCAGGCTAATTTTTAGGTTGATAATTGTCTATGGCCTGCAAATAATGTTTGCACAATCCAGTTAGGTGGGTAAAGGAAAAACTCAAGTAATGGAGTGAGTTGACCCAAGAAACTCACCTTGAAGTACTACAGAGCGAACTCTGGATGTCACTAAGACTGAGATGTCACTGGCCTTTCGAAGGCAAGACCTGGAGGTGAGGAAGAGGAGGGAAGAATAAGCCTGGAAAAGAGGAGTGAGGGGCATGGGACAGAATAAAGGCCAACTCCAAAATCCTGCCTTCTCCTTCTAAGGAGCATGAAATAACAGCCTTCTTGGGAAACCAAGGAGAAAAATTAATGGAAGGCCACTTAGGAATCTAAGTTAATGGAAGTTTGGGGAGGGTTGAATTATAAGTCATTTTTAGAAAAAGAGGGAGTACCTGACATAGTCCAACCATCGTGTTCCTTCCAGGGCTGAGAGCCATTTATCCTCAGATACAGATGAATCTGATGGATAGTAGAGGGGTCAGAAGGGCAAAGAGATCAGAATTCAGGATTCAGGGTCTATAGCCTGAAGGGTTAAGAATAAGTTGGGTAGTGTTACCTTGGGCTGGGGATAGGAATGAAAAGTAACTAATGGCCATGAGGTTTCAAAAGTTAAATTGTGGTAATGTTTGTACAGAGTTTATTGAATTGTATACTTATGGGTGAAGGATGATTTTTTTAAATATATTTTTATTGATTTCATAGATGAAGGGAGAGGGAGAAAGAGATAAAAACATCAATGATGAGAGAGAATCATTGGCCGGCTGCCTCCTGCACGCCCCCTGCTGGGGATCCAGCCACAACCCAGGCATATGCTCTTGACCAGAATCGAACCTGGGACCTTTTAGTCTGCAGGCTGATGCTCTATCCACTGAGCCAAACCGGTTAGGGCAAGGATGATTTTTATACTATGTAGATTATATCCCAATAAAGCTGTTAACAAAAAGAATATGTTGGGGTCTGGAAGACAGGAAATTAGTATGTGGGAGATGGGAGAGTTGAGTAGAAAACTAAGGCTCATTGGGCTGAAAGGTTGGTTGCTCGTCTACAGCAGGCAAATGGTTAGGGTCAGCAGACCTACAAGTGCGGTAAGGGGTTAAAGGTTATTCTCACCAGGCAGACAGAGGGCCCTCAGCCTCAAATGGGCAAGCTGGACATCTGCAAGACTAGGCAGCTCATCCATAGTATCGACCAGGACAACGTCAGAATGCCCAGCCTGGAGCATAGACTCCACTGATCTGGAGGAGAGAGAGTCAGAAAGTAAGGGAAGGCGTCTGCTCTGAACACCTAACCTTTAATTCTCATCAAACTTCCCTCACCTGATGTCCTCCTTGTTAGGGTCACTGGCTGTGTAGAAACCTCCACAGCGGAGAAGATCACTACCCCCAGGGTGATGCCAGGACAGGCGCTTCAAATGGGTGAGAGGAGAATCACTGTGGGAGGAACTCCTAGCCTCACCCTGCCCTTGCCCCCACACTGACCTCACAGGGACCCCCTCCCTTCACAATGACCCCTGACCTCCCATAACCCTCTAATCCCCACCCTCACACTGACCGGTCCACGGCCCTGATGAAAGTGGCCAAATGCTCTCCTGACCTCACTGTCCAGAGTTCGGTTAGGGACCCAGAAGTAACGGGGGAGGCTGTGAAATTGAGAGTAATGTCACATCTTGGATCAGTGACCTCAAAACGCAAACCTGTGATTACAAGGGAGGTGCTTAGGAGGTGATCATTCCAAGTGATCTCAGATTTAGAGACCTAGGAGGTAAGGGCGATAGCTTTGTGGTTGTCCTAGGAAGCTGGGGTGTGTGGGAAGCATAGCTTAAGAGTCAGAGAAGTGTGGGACGATAAGGAAGGCTACAGCAGTTGGGGTGGACGGGGGGATCACCTGGTGGCTACGTCGAATCTCTCATTGACAAGACTAACCCGCCAGCCATTGGCCCCCTGCTTTTTCCTCTCAGTCTCCCAGTCTTCTGGTGTCTCCAAGAGGGGAATAGGTGATTTTCTGGAGCCAGAACTCTGGCCTAGGGCAGGAGTGAGGCACAGAAGAGAAAGAGGACAGCTGCTCAGCTCTTTTTGTCTTCAACCAGCCTCTGATTTTTCAGACTCTATCTTTTCCTTATCCCAAAGCACCCTCACTCACCAGCCTTGCTCAGGGTTATCCCTGAATACTGTTGGTTTTGACTGCTCTGAGCTCTGGCTTGGACAATGGCCATGGTCACCTGTGGAGGAAAGTACATCATCCTTTTGGCTCAGACTGAAGTGAAAAGGAAATGGGGTGTGTTGCTTCACTGTCTTTGCCACCAACAGAGAAGAACAGTGAACACAATCCCTAAGGAAGGGGGCTTCTACAGGTCTTGGGGCCTGGGGTCAAGAGAGTACACCTAGAACCACAGAATCACAGAATGTTAATTCTGGAAGATACTAGGAATCATCTCCTCCAACCCTCCCTGTTTTTCAAAGGAAGACACTTGCCCACAGTCATTCATACTCCTGATAATTGGCAGAGGCAGGCTAGAATTCAGGCCCTGTATTCTCATTATACTATCATTTATCCCAGCCACTCCTTGGGGAAAGAGGCAGAGCGAATGATGGGAGGGATCCTGGGAAATAAGGGAGTACTGGGAATTGCCAGGGAAAGGATCCCAAGGTCCTCAGGGAAGGAAGGGGTCTTAGGTTGGGAGCGTCTTACCTGAAAGGCCTGAGGCTCTAGTCCTCCAGCCTCAAAACCAACTCTGAGCAGCCGGAAGTCTCGGCCGTGAATCAGGATCTCCTCAGGGATAAATTTAAGCAGGGACCCTGGACGGTGGAGTTGGACTCGAGACAGGCTACTCACTGAAGTAAAAAATTAGAGAGCAGTGTAGCCATGGATCAGGGTCCCTCCCTCTAGGACAGCGGTTCTCAACCTGTGGGTCGCGACCCCTTTGGCAATCGAACGACCCTTTCACAGGGTCACCTAAGACCATCCTGCATATCAGATATTTACATTACGATTCATAACAGTAGCAACATTACAGTTATGAAGTAGCAACGAAAATAATTTTATGGTTGGGTCACAACATGAGGAACTGTATTTAAAGGGCCAGAAGGTTGAGAACCACTGCTCTAGGAGGAACTCTTCCTGCCCATCCCACTGCATCTTTGGCTGTCCTCTAAGAATAGAGGAAGGATTGAGGAGGGTAGCCAACACCCCCAGTAAGCCCCTTTACCAGCCCCCCACACTTACCAGCCTCTAATTGCCCAATGTTGACCAGGGCAAAATCATAATCACTGCTTAGGGGAGTCTCCTAGAGGAAGCACATGACATGCTAAAGACATCTGAAATCTCACATCCTATCTCAGTAGCCCCTCACCTTTCTAGAAGAGATCCCATTGATTATCTCTGATACATTCCAAAGAGAGCCTTTAAGAATAACTCTCTAGCTGGGGTTAGAACACCAACCCACACACTAAAGGGTCTCAGGGTTCGATTCCCAGTCAAGGCACATACCTGGGTTGCAGGTTCAATCCCCACCCTGGTCAGGGCGCATGTAGAAACAACCAATCACTGTCTGACTGTGTCAGTCTCTGTCTGTTCTCTCTCTCTTGCTTTCTCTATCTCTATCCCTGCCCCCTTTCTCTCAACCTCTCTCTCCTTCCCTCCCTTCCACTTTCTCTAAAAATCAATGCAAAAAATATCCTCAGATGAGGATTAACAACAACAAAAAAATTTTCAAAAAAAAAAAAAAGAAGAATAACTCTCATACTTCCTGTAATGGTTGTCCAAATCCTTCTAGACTCTGCTACCTATTCCCTCTAGCTGTCATTTTCATTGGCCTAACCATCTCACCTGACACCGCTGCCATCCACAGGGTTGGAAGGTGACCCTTAAGTTGGTGCAGATCAGGGTTCCAGGCAATTCAGGTTCCAGCCCCTTCCGCACCCCTGGGGCCCATGCTAGGATCTGCTCCCCTACAGGAAAAGCCAGGTTATGACCATTCCAGTGTTGCCCATATGTGTACACCCACTCCTCTGAGACAGGAGGATCTAAAGAGGAAAGATTAAGATCCTTCTCTAACTCCTAAGAATGAAAGGCTATGAGGGGAGAATTTGTAATCTTTTACTCTAGCCTGGCACATAGTAGACACTTAAATATTTATTGAATAAGTAAATGAGAAAAGGGGTAATAGGGTCAAGAAAACAGAGGGATCACCAGGGTCCAAGCTCCCAGACAGTTCTGTTCAGAGAAGAGAACAAGCCTCAAGCAGAAGCAGCACTTTGAGCCAGGAAAGGAATATGAAGGTATCTTTAGTGAAGGTAGGAAACAGGATTTAAGCAGGATGAAATTTGACGTCGTTTCTGACGGTCAGAAGTACTGGAAGGACATTATTACCTGGGAGGCATCCAGAGGCCAGGCAACTGCCAAGTTGAGGACTCCTGGGCTCTGGCATCCCACTCCCCTGGACAGACTGTGGTCCAGAGAGCTGTGAAGGGTGTAGCGTTATTCCCCAGGCCTCTCCAACCCTGGGGTCTGGGGTTAACTCAGCAGCCACCTTTGGAGGCCTACACTCAGACTCAGGGGAAACTGAGATCAGTGGCTGTGGGGAGCTCGGGGCCTGGGTTGGCAGACAGTGAAGGGAGGGGCTGGTTAATGGATAATGAGACGATGAACTTGAGACTGAAAAAGACAGACCAAGCTCCATCAGCCAGAGAATATGAGACACCCCCTCCTCCTGCTCTAGATCCTTTTCTTCTATTTCCACATCCTCCCTACTCACACCCTCTGACCCACCAACCCCTCCCCCCAAGCCCAACTCTCCTTACCCCCATCTCTGGCTCCTCCTTCTGGGGGGCAATGTTGAAACTCTGGCCCCGGCCCCCCCACCACATTTCTCCGGCTCCATCCGGGGACGGAGCAGTTAAAGGTGGGAAACTTCAAGGATGCTCAAGCCCCTTGGGGAGAGGCTGGATCTTGTAGCTGAGAGGAGGGAAGTCAGGGATGGGATCCGGGCAAGGGAACAGTCAGGGCAAAGGAACATTTGAGGTGCATGGAGCACGATTTGGGGTCTTTGAAAGCTGTGTCCAGCTAGAGGAGGCTCCTCGGAAACTTCAGTCGACTCGGGAGAGGGCGGGAGAGATGCCCAGCCCCTTAAAGGAGCATACACACAATTTTAGGAAAGTGGAGAGGAAGTGGAGCCGCCTGGGAAGGGTGAGGAATCAATGGGGAACTGGGGGGAAATACCCAGATTCCCTCCTTTACTCTTACTCCCAACTCCTATTCACTTCCCGTTCGTGAGAACTGGAGATTGTTTGAAGGGAGCAGTAATACCGAATATTAAACTGGAACAATTTAGGCCACTTCTCTAGACTGAGTGATGGCTTCCCTGGGAAGCTCAGTTTTTTTATATCTTAAAAGGGGCAGGGGTGGAGGAAGGGGAACACAGAAGTAGTTAAATAAGACCTTCTTACAGCCTCTCCTGACAGACCTACCAAAAGGGATTGAGAAGTAAATGGAAGTTGGACCACAGGGTAGTTTTCCCCGGGGAGACCCAAGAATTGGGGATGGGGATGAGTTAGTGTTTTTGTCCATCCTTCTCCAGAGAGCATGAATCATACCTGTATGCACGGTGCAGCAGAAAAGGCGAGAAACTGAAATCTCTCCACGATGCAGACACAAGTACAGGTATGTTTATGTGCATGTTCTGGGGTGGTGGTGGGAGGCCCAAGGAAAAGATCTCACCAACTTTATCCATCGAACACACACATGCACACATGCCCGCACACACACACCACCCCAACCAATTAGAAACTGGAGCCCACCCCAAGAAAACAGAGGGATCACCAGGGTCCAAGCTCCCAGACAGTTCTGTTCAGAGAAGAGAACAAGCCTCAAGCAGAAGCAGCACTTTGAGCCAGGAAAGGAATATGAAGGTATCTTTAGTGAAGGTAGGAAACAGGATTTAAGCAGGATGAAATTTGACGTCGTTTCTGACGGTCAGAAGTACTGGAAGGACATTATTACCTGGGAGGCATCCAGAGGCCAGGCAACTGCCAAGTTGAGGACTCCTGGGCTCTGGCATCCCACTCCCCTGGACAGACTGTGGTCCAGAGAGCTGTGAAGGGTGTAGCGTTATTCCCCAGGCCTCTCCAACCCTGGGGTCTGGGGTTAACTCAGCAGCCACCTTTGGAGGCCTACACTCAGACTCAGGGGAAACTGAGATCAGTGGCTGTGGGGAGCTCGGGGCCTGGGTTGGCAGACAGTGAAGGGAGGGGCTGGTTAATGGATAATGAGACGATGAACTTGAGACTGAAAAAGACAGACCAAGCTCCATCAGCCAGAGAATATGAGACACACCCTCCTCCTGCTCTAGATCCTTTTCTTCTATTTCCACATCCTCCCTACTCACACCCTCTGACCCACCAACCCCTCCCCCCAAGCCCAACTCTCCTTACCCCCATCTCTGGCTCCTCCTTCTGGGGGGCAATGTTGAAACTCTGGCCCCGGCCCCCCCACCACATTTCTCCGGCTCCATCCGGGGACGGAGCAGTTAAAGGTGGGAAACTTCAAGGATGCTCAAGCCCCTTGGGGAGAGGCTGGATCTTGTAGCTGAGAGGAGGGAAGTCAGGGATGGGATCCGGGCAAGGGAACAGTCAGGGCAAAGGAACATTTGAGGTGCATGGAGCACGATTTGGGGTCTTTGAAAGCTGTGTCCAGCTAGAGGAGGCTCCTCGGAAACTTCAGTCGACTCGGGAGAGGGCGGGAGAGATGCCCAGCCCCTTAAAGGAGCATACACACAATTTTAGGAAAGTGGAGAGGAAGTGGAGCCGCCTGGGAAGGGTGAGGAATCAATGGGGAACTGGGGGGAAATACCCAGATTCCCTCCTTTACTCTTACTCCCAACTCCTATTCACTTCCCGTTCGTGAGAACTGGAGATTGTTTGAAGGGAGCAGTAATACCGAATATTAAACTGGAACAATTTAGGCCACTTCTCTAGACTCTGAGTGATGGCTTCCCTGGGAAGCTCAGTTTTTTTATATCTTAAAAGGGGCAGGGGTGGAGGAAGGGGAACACAGAAGTAGTTAAATAAGACCTTCTTACAGCCTCTCCTGACAGACCTACCAAAAGGGATTGAGAAGTAAATGGAAGTTGGACCACAGGGTAGTTTTCCCCGGGGAGACCCAAGAATTGGGGATGGGGATGAGTTAGTGTTTTTGTCCATCCTTCTCCAGAGAGCATGAATCATACCTGTATGCACGGTGCAGCAGAAAAGGCGAGAAACTGAAATCTCTCCACGATGCAGACACAAGTACAGGTATGTTTATGTGCATGTTCTGGGGTGGTGGTGGGAGGCCCAAGGAAAAGATCTCACCAACTTTATCCATCGAACACACACATGCACACATGCCCGCACACACACACCACCCCAACCAATTAGAAACTGGAGCCCACCCCAGGTACATGACCCCTCCCTCCAATCCAGACACCAGATCTCCAAATTAATAATTCATGTTCAGGATTCTGAAAGCTGAGGGCTGGAAACCTCTGTTCAGTTCAACAAGCCCATTCCTCCTCCCTACCCACTTGCAACCCAAGAAGCAAAGGTGGGGGAAGGGCACTGGAAGAAAGTAAAGGAACTGCAGGACTGCAGGTGAGGAGGACTAGGGTATGAATGCGACATCTATATTTAGATATGAAAAAGACAGGAAATAAAATACAAAGAGTTAATGAGCTGCTGTTTTATTGATTTTGAGTCTGTACAGAGGCAGCAATCCATAGGTGGGGGCCCAGTGTCACTTTATTCTCTCCAACCCCCAGCACACACACCCTTCCGGCCTCAGCTTTACAAGTTCTCTGTCTGGCTGCAACTATGGAAATAGTGAAAATACATATTGTGAGACAGGGTGTCAATCTGGAACAAAGAGGAATACCTGATTCTCAAGGTCCTCAAAGCTACTAAGCATCCCCACCCCCACCTGCATTCCATGGGTTTCAATCTCAGGGGAAGAAAATACTTCCCAAGGTCTGTTGCAATAAGAGGTGCGTACCACAATTTTAAAATATTATCAACTTTCCTTCTCCCACCACCCTTCATTCAAGAGCCTCATTCTATTCTTTAATACTTTGAGGTAAGGAACAGCAGAGGAATACAGAGAAAAATATCAGGAGATTGGGGGAAAGTTGGGGGTGGGGGGAAGGTGACTTGGATTAGTCCCCAACCAGGAATGCAATGAGGGCAGCAGATGAGGGGTAATTAACAGCAGAACCACCTCTCACCACCCCACACACTCCCAGTGGAGGCTCAGTGGACGAAAGGAAGGGTGGAACTATCAGATTTTTCCATTTTCAGAATCCTGATCTAGTTGTAGGTTTGTGCTACAATGAAGGCTGCCAGGAGGGGCAGCCGAAGGAGGAGCTGAGTGACTCATAAGATGAGTCACAGATCCAGTTATAAACACAGAAAGAGGCCTTGGTCCTTCCCACCCCCACTTCAGTCAGTTCTGCTACTCTCAGGCAGCTTCCCTCTCTTCTAAAGCCCCTTACTCACCAGGTGGAGGAAGGTGCCATGGAGTGTCTACACAGGAGACTTCATAATATTTTGTTAATTAACTTAAGTACATGGAGCAAAACACCCTGTGATTTGTAGACTGGGTATCTACAAAGTGAGACAGAGTGCTTGTATGACTCACTGAATCTACAGTTAAATGGCCTGGAGGGAAAAAGAAACTAGAAAAATCTATGGTGCAGATGATTCCAGGCCAGGAAGGGGCTTCTAATTCTGTCTTCTCACCTGTGGCTATGTGTCTGGGGCACTGACTCTTGGAGAAAGAAGAGGACAGAGTCCAAGGTGTCCAAGTAACTCAGGGACAATCATTTCTGAAGCTCCTTTATTGGTAAAGAAAAAAACATGACTGGAACCTTGGACAAGTGGCTGTTTAGAAAGGAGTAAGAATGGTAAAAGCTAGGTTCTCAAGTCATTCAGAACCAGCCCCATTCTTTTTGGCTCAGTATCCCCTCCCGAATATACAATACAAAGTCATTGCTAATTTTTGTTTTATTGGTCTGTGAGCTTTAGTTTTGCCTGAGAAGAAATTGCAAGAGGGAGGGTACTTCTCTCCAGGCCTGTACAGCACTGTTGAACACCATCCCCACTCCAGAATGAGATTGAATTTCTTAAAATTTATATATATTTTTATATATAATCTTTTCATTTTGATAGAATCCAGTATGTGGGGAAAACTTTTGGTTAAATCTTATAACCCTCAGTAAAACCAGCATAGATTGAGAAGATTTTTGGAGGCTTATCTTATAGTATACTTGTTCCATCAGGGCTGGAGTGTATTAGGGTGGAGGGGTAGCACTATCTTAAATCAAAAGGGGAAAATCCCTTTCCAATAAAAAACTTCAATAGGTACCCCAACACCCTGAATTAAAGGAACTAAGTGCACTTATTTAAGACTGAGGGACAGCATCCCTCAGCTAGGGTTATGGGAGTCTGCTTACCCCCTTCACCCACAAACCTCTCCTTAACTAAGGAATTTTTGCTCAGTTTGAGTGCACATCATATACCACTCTCTTCCCTTCTCCCAAAACAGTAATTGCATGGGCTTGCCTCTTCCACCCCCTCATCTTCCCAAAATACCATAAACAAACCCAAGTTCATTTCCTAGGCATTATTCCCTCACTACCCCACCCCACACAATTCCCTCAAAGAATAAAGCAAAACAAACCCTACTCATCCCTATAGAAAAACATCCATTAACTCAGGGTCCCTCATCCTTAGAACGGAGAGGTTTATTTAATGCTTCAATAAATAATTACCTACCCAAATTAAGAAAAAGATTTCTTAATAAAAAAAACTATAGGGCTGCCCTGGCCAGTGTTGCTCATTGGTTAGAGTGCTGGCCTGCTCTCGGAAGGGTCTCCGGTTCGATTCCTGATTCCTGGTCTAGGACATGTACCTGGGTTGCAGGTCCGATCCCGTGGCAGGAGGCAACCAATTGATGTGTTTCTCAAAACATCGATATTTCCATTCTCTCTAAAAATCAACTGAAAAAATATACTCAGGTGAGGATTAACAACAACAAAAAAGTTATAAGGCCTACGTAAAGCCCTATTTTACCAAACTGACCCCTAGGGCCCCCCCCGCCGAATTTCCATCATTTTTATTGAAAAGAAGTCAGAAGAAATTGGTATTGGTTAATTTATAAAAAGAAAAACAAACGACATAAGGTTTCCATTTTTGTTCATTTGTCCTCTGTTTTTAAAAACAAAAAATATTACCTAGAACTAGTAACAGAACAAATCCAAACACAGCAGTCCAGTGGAGAATCAAAACTTTCCTGGTTTTATTCTCTAAGGAAATCTCTGGTCTGTTTCCACTCCTGTTGGTCCAGGCCAGAATCCTATGATATAGATCAGTGGTTCTCAACCTTCTGGCCCTTTAAATACAGTTCCTCATGTGACCCAACCATAAAATTATTTTCATTGCTACTTCATAACTGTAATGTTGCTACTGTTATGAATCGTAATGTAAATATCTGATATGCAGGATGGTCTTAGGCGACCCACAGGTTGAGAACCGCTGATATAGACGGACGCCTCTGAGAAAGCTAAGTGAGTTGTGCAAATTCAAGGTGTGAGTTTGAGCCACCTGTTGTTCGGGTGCATGTTAGGGGATGGAAGCCCATGAGGTGGCAGTCTCACTAGTATTGTTCTAACTCCAGAAACAGGGTGAGGTGAGCAAGGCACTCATTTGGGGCACAAAATTTAAGTGGTGCCCCAAAACCCAGTAACCAAGGTACTATTTTAATGCAGTATTTTTTGGAAATCAAAACTAATGTAAAAAAACACCACCACAATGAACAAATTATAAGTTTTAAGTAAAGACAGGATTCAACCCTATACTTGCTCATTTCAGTCTTATTTCCCACTCTTGATCCCAGTCCTGTTGAATTCAGTCTTTAAGATTGACATTTTGTTCATTATGGATTTTTTCACATTGATTTTTTAAAAATGCTGCATTAAAACATTATCTTGCTTATTGAGTTTTTCAGTACCCTCTTCAGTTTTGTGCCTGAGAAGAGTGCTTGTCTCATACTATTCCCAGCCCTGCCCTGAATATACTGGTATACATACCCTCTTTTGGAATCTAACTCCTTTGACTTCATTGCTTCCTTAAAACAGGTCTATTTTCATATAAAAACTTGAGAATTCATAGCCATAAGAAATGGTGAAAGCAACAGTATCAGATTTGGGAAATAAGTGACTTTCAAGTTTGAGGAAGAAACCTTTCTAAAATGTGAGCAGTTCCAATAAAGAGGACAGTCTTGATATTTTTGTTACCAAGGGGGAAACAGCAAGACAACTTTCCTGATTGGGTAGAAACAACATATGGCAAACACGAGGGCCCCCCCCACCCACAGAGCAAACGTGGGGATCACATTCCATGGGGTGGGTTATGAGTACATACTTCCAAAGAGAAATCCAAATACAGAAAAATAGCCCCAGTTAACACCTGGACACTTAAGTACACTTATTCCCCTTCTTTGTATGTACCCAGGAGTGTATACAATTGCATAGTTGAAGTTTTCCCAGAAAAAGAAAAGTAAAAGGAAAATTGGCCTAGGTTAGGTCCTCTGGTTTAAAGCTCTTAAAAATGGTGCTGGCCAGAGCGTAGGCTGTCCAGACTTGTGCTTTGTGCAAAATGCAAAGGAGCTCCTCCACACTGTGTCCACAGGCCCACTCCCACCCCCTGGGGAAAAGGGTAGGGTCAGGGAAAGGAGGAACTCCAAAGACAGATCATCTCATTGGGAGTAATCTGTGATCTGTGGTTACAGTTCACTAAAATAGATTTCTCTAACTTTTTATAAATTGCTCCAGCCTATACCCCATTTTTCAACTTCAGTCCAATTATAAAAAATATCTCTTCTTACAAAGTATTTTATTTTAATAAACTAACCACAGATTAAGGTCAGCTATGGCTTAACAAAAGAAGCCGGGATGTTAAGTTCATTCTCCAAAAACAGAGAGGAAGGAGAAAGAATCACTTAAATAGGAAAAAATTTGTTTTTAAAAATGTTTTTGCTTGCTGGGGTCTTTTGTTTCTTTTCCTTAAAAAAAAGAAAAATAAGTTGCTTTCTACAGAAATGCAGCAGCAGAGGATGGTAGTGCTCTATTTAGGTTTTTGGTTTTGTTTGAAACAGTCTGGCCAAAGGTCTATCCTTCTCCCACCCCTCCCAAGGCACACTCAAACCCCAATATATAGTTATTGCTAAGTAGTTAAAAAAAGATCACCTCTGTACCAGTTCACCTGGAGAAAATTCAAGACACACAGCTGCTCTTCTCATCACTCTCTTCCCTTCCCCAGAGGGAACTTTTAAAAAAAATAAAATTAAAGTCTTTTTTAAAAAGATCACAACCTTAATTTAGCTGCGTTCAGCCCTCAAAAAGGATGAGGAAAAGATAGGGGGCAATCAACAATCTCCTCAAACTAGAACAGATGACAGATGGTGTTTAGAAGGAAATAAAACTTAAGAGGAAAAGGCTTCCCCTTTTAAGTTCGTTCCTTCTCCATCTCAACAAACCCATTTAAACTACCTCCCTCCTAATAGGCATCTATGAGCATACATTACTGCTCTGTCTTTCCAGATTCTTCAGGAGGAAGAATTTATCCAACCCTAATTTCCATCTTAATTCAAATCAATGGCCAATTTGTCTTAATTTCCCAATTTCTCTCCACACTCCCAACTCCACCACCATGCACTTCTTTCAACCTAAAAGAACTTTGGTCTGTTTTTTTCTTTTATTGACTGAGAACCACCTTTGCCTTCTTTCCCAGATGGCTAACCATCTCCCCTTCCCCACATACCAAACCTGCCCCTACTGCTTTCATGGACCCAAGGGGTTATGAGATAGAATCACCATCTTTCTCCTTTGTACCTCCTCAGTCCCATCAAGTTAAGATCTGCAAAGGACTAGTGCAGCCCTTGAGGCACCGTCCAGCCCTGACCTGCGCTTGCCAGCCTGGCAACTCTCCAGCACCCACACTCTTAAAAGTTTCTAGCCAGGCTCCCACAAACATTACTGCATTTGCCCCATCAGTATGGGGGCTGGGTCTTGATGAGCCAATTAGTTGAGCTTAACTTTCTTGGTTTACCCCCTTGCCCTCCAAGGTCCCTTCATTCAGAACCTGTGCACGAGCAGCTCCCCACCCGGTTCCCGTTCCTTCCTCCTCAGTTCTTCCCTGTAACAGCAGGAGCAGAAGTTGTTTGTCTCAGGGTGTCCATAGAAGCTGCAGTTCGGTTGTTTGCATTTGGTCTGGGTTGTGGGAAGCCCCCTGGGCCCTCCAGCCCATCCATCTGGCTCAGGGGGCTCTTGGTAGCCGTTGCTATAGGAATCAGCCACACGGAAGTGGGGTGGTAACAATGTACCCCTATGAACTCCATCCTGGGAGTGACTGCCTGGCTCCAGAGAAAGGCTGCTGTCCTGATGGGGGTAGGGTCGCCCAGGAGGGCACTGTCTAGGGAAGGTGGCATATGGTGGTAGGCCACCCCCACACGGACCCCCTGCCAACTGCCTCCGGGGTTCCTGGCAGTGAACTCCACCCCCAGAAGGCCGAGGGATTGTAAAGCCCCCAGGGTAGCCAGTAGAAAATGCCATGGCCTTGGACTCTGTTTGGGAGGCAGTCAGCAGCTCCTCCCCACCATCTGGCTCTGGCTTTTTGGCTGGAGGAGGCCCACTTCCTACCCCTCCATTCATGATCTTCCTCTCTGACTCCTTCTGCTTCTGCTCTGCCAGGAATCTCTCCTCAGCATCAGCAAGGTAGCGCTGGATCATCTCCTCCTGATACTGGTGACGGTGACCCATCTTCAGGGTTCCAACAAAAATAAACTTCCCCTCCCCTTGCATGGCAGTCCTCATGATGCTCAGGCTTTGCATCACCTCCTGGCTATACTTGCTTCCTCCATTACCCACAGACTCAGATATAGGCTTCTCAGACACAGGCCCATCCCCAGCTGCCTCCTCTTTGCCACCCTTCCAGCTCTTCAGCGAGTTTTTCTTCTTCTTCTCCAGTGTCTCGGTGCCACTGCTCACTCCTGACCCTGTTCCCATCCCTCCAGGCTTAGAACCCTTGCTGTGCATCAAGCCTCCCATGTTCTTCTTGAGCTTGCTGCCCAAGGTTTTGCCAAAGCTGCCCAGTTTGTTAGCCACAGAATCTGTCCTCTTCTTGTCCTTCTCCCGATCTCGTTTTGATTTTTCTTTCCGCTTGCTGCCCTCATTGCTGGTGGAACTGCTGCCAACTGACTCCTTGTCTGATTCGCCAGACTCAGGAGTGGACCGGGGCTCATCTCCTGCTGAGGCAGTGGGGGACTCAGGCTGGGCCAGGGGAGCCTGGAAGAGACAAAAACAGGATTTTCAGTTATCTCATTGGTCTGAGTTGGGGGAGGTCCCCAGGGATCCCTAGTTTATCCCTATGGCTCATGGGGCTCCCAGTAGCCATTGCTATAAGAATTAGCCAAGTGAAAAAGGGTGGTAACACCCCTATGAACTGTCCTTAAGAGTGACTGCCTAGTTTTAGAGAAGAGCTGCTATCATGATGGGGAAGGGTCACCCAGGAAGGCATTGTCCTTCCCCAGCTCCAGTCACTCTCTCATAGACAAGGAATAGATGTATCTAATATCTAACTTTAATGTAACCACCTGCAATGACTTCCTTCTGTTATAATGAAGCTTCAACTCTTTTAGAGCAATGAAGAACTACAGTACATGGCCTCTGGGTAAGGACAGAATATTCTGTACACACTGGAGCATTCTTTATTTGATTCTAAATTTCTCTATGCTAAATTCTTCCCAAAATTAAACTCAAGAAAGTCTTGTCTAACTGCAACCAACCAACCAACTGCAACCATCCTGAAGCCCCTCAACTTTTAGATACTCAACACTAGAGTCCATCAATTTGCCCTTGCTCCTGTGATCCTGTTCTATGGATACTGATGACATCCTCAGAACCTACTGGATCAGGAGCTCTTTAAGCTGTTCTGTCTCCTCTGGTGCCAACACAGAGGTCTATGTATAGACAGCTTAGGATAGAGCAATGGTCGGCAAACTACGGCTCGAGAGCCACATGCAGCTCTTTGGCCCCTTGAGTGTGGCCATGAAGTTTCAATCGCACTGTACGTGCATGTCCACACGTGTTATTTTGTGGAAGAGCCACACTCAAGAGGCCGCAGTTTGCTGACCACTGGGATAGAGTAGTGATAACCTCAAGTTCACCAAAAAGTCCAGAAAACTCTTCTTGAAGAATGTGTTTTAGTATCAAAAAGCAGTACTTGGGTGGAGAGGAGATGTGGAAAATGGGAGGCACTAACAGGTAGAAAGACAGGAAAAAGTATCTTTGGGAACTTATTTGATATTTTCCAATTATTCCTAATTTGGAATCATAAGCCATCACTCAGAAGAGATTCAGAAAGAGAACATCACCAGATCTTGTTCTCCCTGTCACTGAAAATGAGGATCAACAAGGGTCGGGTGGAGATGTCCTCACCTGCGCATCAGAGGACACTGGGATCCACTTCACGTTCATGTAGCTATGCAGCAGATGCAATTTGACCTCCAGGGACAAGATTACACTGTGAAAAGGAGAAAAAGGAATTAGAAATGTCTGTAACCTATAAAATGCAAAGCAGTATGATAAGTTGGGAGGTAAAGTGGGTGAGGGCCACATGGCTTGGGACTCAGGGTTGGGTTTGAATTATAGCTCCACCAATTACTAAGATTGATGACCTTGAACAAGTCACATCAACTTCTCTGAAACTCATATGGGGTCGATAATGGGTATAGATGATAATATATCCTGTAGGGTTGTTATGAAGTTTAAGATGACATTTAAAAGGACACACAGCACAGTGTCTAGAAAACAGGAAATTCTTTCTAAACAGTAGCCATTGTTATTGTTGTTATAAATATTTAGAAGAAGCTTTTGAAAGTTAGGTGAGAACTTGGTTAAAAAGCCACAAATGCTGGGTTTTTTAATCAAACCCTCTCGTTTGGGTCTCAGTTTTAGGAGCCCCAAGAAGGAAGGGCTGGGTAAGAGATAAGGGAGGACATTTTACATTCATACACTCTTCACAGGAAACTGTGGTGGGAAGCAGGAGGAAGGCTAACCAGCTTATGGGAGGCAGAGCAAGCAGTGGGGAAGAACATATTTTTCTTGCTGTTTAAGTTCCAGAAAGGCAAAAATCTAGAGCAAATTATTTTGGTCACCGATTTAAAACCCCCTCACTTGGTCTGGGAGAACTGTGAATTGTGTATCTTGATTTTCTGATCACTACTTTGGGGATTCTGGGAGGTATTAGTGTAAGGAAAGAACAAGTCCAGGATTCCCATCTTTCACTGGGAGAAAAAGCAGTTCCACGCTGCAAAAGTCCTGGTGCTCAACCTTTCACCTGTCCATCGTCCCAAAAAATATGGGAACTAGGGTGTGACTTGCCTCTGAACTGAGAAAAAGTCCCCAGGAGACAGATGCTATGTGGAAGAGCTCGCACCTACAAAGCAGATGAAAAGGACAGGCATGCCTCACCTGGCTAATCGGACATTGTCACTGTCATCTTTGCCCCACTCCCAGCTCTTTCCAGGGTCCACAGCAAAGTGCAAGGGCAGCAGCTTATGCTCTGAATCTGTAAGTGGGATCACAGCTGGAGGGGGAAAAACATGTCATCAAGGAGTCTCTCCAAGGAGAGAAGAAGGCAAGTGAACGCAGACTGACTGATACTACAGGAGATATGATAACTGTAGTCACTTCTCATTTCTTACATGTGAATTATCCTGGCATTTAAAACTAAAAGGCTGGCTTTCCCTTAATACCCAGCACACAATTTAGGCCAATAATCCCCATGATTCCCCACCTGTCAGTCAACTAACATTCATGATGTTTTTGCTAGTTAATGTAGATTCATGAAATTGAGTCACTTGGACAAATAAAACATCATTTGGAAGGTTCTATGGCCTTAATATATAAACCCTTTATTTCAGGGAGCAGGAAATAAAAAAACTACTGTGTTTTCCCCCAAACCTTTGTTGTTTAATTTTAAAACCTTGGTATATCTTACAGCTTGGTAGAATAGTCTCAACATGCACTCATTTCGGTTTTTCCAATGAAAATAAAGCAGATCAAAAGCACCAGAGACACAGACACTGCATTCAGCACCTTGTTCCTTGCCATTCTCCTTCTGCTCCATGGACACAAGTGCAGAAAAGTGGGCCTGATCGTAGGCGAGCACCAGAGGGGAGCGGTGACACTGGCTGGCGGGGACCTCCAAGGGCAGATAGATTCCCCCAAAGGGAATAGGGGCAAATGCTGTAGGAAACCACAAAGATTATTATTAAGGATATGTTCTTGCCTAGTGGGCAATCCCTCTTCCTCACCCTGCCAACTGAGTCCCCCCTTTCATTCCAACCCCTGCTTAATAATTCTTTCCCAGGAAGCCTCATCAATTAATCCCAACTTGAATCTTTTGAGACCTTTGCATTGTTCTAATTTACACCTTGTTGTCCCCCCGCCCCCCAGCAAAGGTCTATATATCCTCTTTTCCACACTCCTCCCAGTGCTTAGACCAGAGCTCTGCAAACAGTGGGTGCTCAGAGTGCAGTGAGGATTGACTGACTCACCTTCTCCCCCAGAGTCCCTCAGCATGGTGTCTGCCACGACGACTATGGGCCTCCTAAGCACATGGGCAAGGACAAAGACATGGAATTCTTCTAGACTCTCATATACAGGCTCCTCTGAACTCTCCACCCTAGAGTTGCAGAGGGGGAAAGAGACCATTCTGCCTATGAGATATTTACATTACGATTCATAACAGTAGCAACATTACAGTTATGAAGTAGCAACGAAAATAATTTATGGTTGGGTCACAACATGAGGAACTGTATTTAAAGGGCCAGAAGGTTGAGAACCACTGGTTGAGTGTAAGGGAGAGGGAAGAAAACAAAAGAGACTCCTGAAGACCAGTTCTGCAAAAAGGAAAACAAGGAATGTCCTTTCCTGGTTTTCTAATCCTAAGACTGCCAGGGACACAGCTGATTATTTTATGCTACAATTGCTGTTTCTACTTCCATTTCACAGATGGGGAAATCCAAGAAAAGAGACTTGAAGGCTTTATGGTTGTATGGTTAAAGTAGTGTTAGGAATCTGAAGGCAATTCCTCTATTAATACTTGTCTTGTTCAATAACCTTCCTCAATTCTCTTTATAAAGTAGCTAAATACACAACTGAATAGCCTCATCCTAGACTCTACCCACCACAACCATCCACACATCACACTGTCCAACAAAAACAAAAACTCCTCCTAAATTCCCTTGCTTGGAGAATAGCCTCACTATATACCTAGTAGCCTAATCAGCAGAAATCTGTAAAATATTTACTGTTCTTTATCTCTCACCTCCAATTAATCACCTGGCTTGGCCAATTCCATCTCTTAAGTATCTCTTGCATCTGTACCCTCTAGCTTATCTGCAACCTACTACTCTTTTTTTTAAAAAAAATATGTTTTTATTGATTTTAAAGAAAGAGGTAGAAACATACACGAGAAACATCAATCAGCTGCCTCCACAGGTATGTGCCCTGACCAGGAATCGAACCAGTGACGTTTTGGTGCATAAGATGACACTCAACCAACTGAGCCACACCAGCTGGACTATAATCCACTACTCTTGTTCATACCCATGGCTCTCTTTCTTGGATTACTACAACTGCCTCTAGTCTCCCTCCCCTCTGCTTCATCATCCACTCTGCTGTCAGTGTGTTTAAATTCACAAATTTGCTCTTGTCACTCATTCACAACTCAATTCCTTTCCACCCCATAAAGCAATATTCAACACTGGGTGCTTGATACAAATGCAGATTTCTGGGCCTTACCTCAGTCCAACTCAAGGGTGGAGGTCCTGAAATCTGCATTTTATTTTTTTAAAATATATTTTTATTGCCATAACCAGTTTGGCTCAGTGGATAGAGCATCAGCCTGCGGACTGAAAGGTCCCAGGT